GGGTTTTGTTTAATCTAGGGTGAACAAGGTAATAATAACAATAACAATAATAATAAGGTCATAACAAAGGTGGATAGGCATGGCTAGATAAAACAGTGATAACGCGGGAATTTAAATAAAGCGATAATGCAATAATTTAAAGCAACATAATTTTATAAACTGGGATTCAATATGTTCAAGGATGATGTGACTTGCCTTGCTCGCTTTCCCAAACGTCGGCTTCAACTTCCACGAAGAGCGGATCTTCCGAAGCTGCAGCGTCTACACGACCAACGGAAAAGAAACGGCTTTTACTCTAATAAACTCCCTATAACAAGCAGAAACAAAGCACAAAAATGGGTTCTTGACTTCTTAAGGAAAAATTAGAGACTTGAACGGTCCAATTCCGAGTTCAAATGGCCAAGATATGGCCATTTGAAGTTTATATGCTCTTTAAATGGATATTTGCGAATTTCTTCATTTAAATTTTAATTTAAAAATCGGATTTATTGCGTCAGCCGAGGGGAGGGGCGCGCGGACCGGGTCCACGGGAGTGGGGCCCACGCGGCAGCCTCACGGTCCACGGTGGACCGGGTGCACGCAGCTTGCGCCGGCCGGCGCCGTGGGTCCCACGCGTCAGCCGCACCCGAGGGCGCGGGCGGCTGACGGCCGGGCCCCACATGGCAGCCGCGGGGCGCGCCCGAAGGCGGCCTCGCCGGCACAGCCGACGAAAGGCGACGCGCCCGCGCCCCGATGGTCGCCGGCGGCGACCTCCGGCGCGACGGAGCGGCGCCCGAGAGAGGGGAGGGAAGGGGGAAGCGAAATGGCGGTCCTCGGCTCACCCCGGGTCGACGGCGACGACGGAAACGGCGACCGAAGTGGAGAGAGGCGGCGGCGCGGCTCGGGTCGACGAGGACGGCGGCGTTCCGGCGGTCGGCGGGCGAAACGAAGGGGTGGACGAGGTCGGCGAGGACGCGGCGAAGCCAAAGGAGGCGATGCCGAAGCGGGAGGAGGTCCGGGGCGACGACGGCGGCGGACCGAAGCTCGGCGGCGATGGCGGAGAGAGAGGACGACGGTGCGAGCTCGATTCCGACGGGGAGAGAGAGCGGCGAGCGGCGGAAACGGAGGAGGGAGGCACGGGGAGCGTTTATATAGTGTTGGGAGTGAGAGAGGGCGGCCGGAGGGGAAGGAAACCGGCGCGGCGATCTCGGCTCCATCAATGACGCCGGCGAAGTTTGCGGGAGGATTTCCAAACGAATCCGAGAGAGAGAGAGAGAGGGAAAAGTGGGGGGGAAAGAGGGAGGGAATCACGGGGAGTGATTTCCCCCTCTTTATTGCGCGCGGGGGCGGCGGGATGCGGCGGAATCCGCGGCGGCGGCGGCGCTAGGGCACGGGCGAGGCGGCGGGAGCGGCGGGAGGACAGGGATGACAGGTGGGCCCCACCCGTCAGCGAGGGTGGCGGGCGGGCCCGCCCGTCAGCGGCACGCGCGCGGGGAGGAGGCCGATTGGGCCGCGGGGGAGAGGAGAGAGAGGGAGGGAGGTGGGCCGAGCCGGCCCAAGAGGGGAAGGGGGGGAAAAAGACTTTTTAGGGTTTTTCTTTTTATAAACTCATTTTAACTTTGTTTATTTCTTAATAATTATTATTTGTGCTCTGAAAATTCCACTAAAATTTGAGGGCTCCTTTTTGACCAAGGAGAATTTAACAAAAATTCTCCGGGCCACATTTGAATTTTTCTTGCACGTATTTTAATGTTTGCCAATTTCTTTTCGAATTTTAATTAATTCTATTATTCCTTTTAGCGAATGATTTTTAATTCGGGATGAATTTATCAGGACGTGACATCAGGGAAGAGAATGACCCGGTAAGGGAGGAAGTACATGCAGAGGAGAATGTGCCGTTAAGGGAAGAAGTACATGTAGAGGACAATGTGCCGTTAAGGGAGGAAGTTAATGTGGAGGAGAATGTGCAGAGGACAATGTGCCGTTAAGGGAGGAAGTTAATGTGGAGGAGAATGTGCCGGTAAGAGAGGAAGGAGATGTTGAGGATGGTCGGGAGGTAGGAGATGATGTGGAGTTGCCTGAGGAAGAAGCGAATGCTAAGAATGTAAGTATGGGCCTAAGGGAGTTGGCTAGGCTGAAATTCTATACCCGAGAGGAGTGTGAGGAGGCTATGATACGCAGTGGATTGAACCCAGGCTGGTTGGAGTATGATACAGAGGATGAATTGGATGAGTCCGCTTCCGACTCCGATGATGATCGTCCAGTGCGTAAGGACTGTGTTTGCGAAACTGGTGGGTAGAAACCCGGAAATAACACAATTCGAGGATCTTACCAGATCTGGGCTAGCAATTGCTGATGGGGATCCACAATATGACGGTGCCTTCGAACCAATGTGTGATGAACCAAGGAAGGGGTTGGAGTTTCGATCGATGGATGATCTGAAAATATGGCTACAGAGTTATTCTATCCGTGTCCACCGGCCGTACCATGTGAAGGAATCTAACGCGTCAGTAAAGTATACTGTGGCTTGTCTCGATCGCCATTGCAAATGGCAGATTAATGCAAGGAAGAGTGGAGGAGATAGGTGGCGGGTGACTAGGGTGGGCGAAGACCACACATGCTGTAGTGCGGAAGTAACCGGCAAGCATTTGCAACTTACTTCAAGGTTTATTGGAAACAAGTTACAGGCATTTGTGCGAGTTGAACCAACTTTATCTCCAGCAGCGATTGTCGAGGCAGTTGAGCAAATATGGCACTATCGGCCTACGTATGGCAAAGCATGGCGTGCTAAGCAAGTTGCTATGAAGGTCATTTGGGGAGATTGGGACGAGGCGTATGTTCGCTTGCCTACACTGATGCGTGCCATCAAAGCAAAGAACCCTACCATGCATTTCCGTGTTGAGGCTCATCCCGAGAAGTCCAGGATGGTGGATGGAGTACAGAGGCGAGTATTTGGACGTGCATATTGGATATTTGGCCAGTCCATAGAAGCATTCAAGCACTTGAGGCCGGTGCTAGCAATTGATGGCACTTTCTTAACCGGTAAATACCAAGGTACATTGCTCACGGCAATAGGGGTCGACGCCGGGTTACATCTTGTTCCCTTGGCGTTTGCTCTGGTAGAGAAGGAGAATACATCCAACTGGGAGTGGTTCATCAACATGTTGAGAAACAAGTTGATCGGTCCTAATAGAGAAGTGTGTATAATTTCTGATAGACACCCTGGCATTTTGAACTCCATCATCCACATCATGCCTCATCACCTAACCATTCACCACAGGTGGTGCATGAGGCACTTCTGTGCTAACTTCTACACAGCTGGAGCTACGACTAATCAGATGAAAGATCTTGAGCGCATATGTCAAATAAATGAGAAAGCATTGTTCCTAGATGAGATAAAACGCCTCATGGGTGTGGTCGGAGAGAGGCCAAAGAAGTGGCTAGAAGACCATATGCCACTTAAGGTCAAATGGGCAAGAGCATTTGATACCAACGGGCGTCGTCATAGCATCATGACTAGTAATATGGCCGAGAGTTTCAATAATGTATTGAGAGGCATTCGGAAACTGCCGGTTACAGCTATTGTGGCATACACATTTTCGAAGTGCAATAGTTGGTTTGTCGATAGACACAAAGAGGCAACTGTAGATATCCTGTGTGGAAAGAAGTGGCCCACAAAAGTTAAGGACATGTTGGAGGAGCAGCAAAGACGAACCTTGGGGCAAAGAGCAGCATGTTTTGATTTCCCTTCAATGAAGTATGAGGTCAGCGAGCAAGGCGGAGTCACGGCGGCTGGGGTTCAATGGGGTGGACGTCACTACGTCGTGGTTGCGAGAGATAACACATGTAGTTGTCAGTTCCCTCAGCTCCATCACTTGCCATGCTCCCACATGATAACCGTTTGTAAGTTGTGAGGTTTGGATGTGGAGGTGGCCCCCCGAATGTGTTATGAAGCTTCCAATAAGGCTGTGCAGGACTCGTACTCCCCTAGGTTTGAACCTTACCTAGATCCATCGCAGTGGCCAAGTTATGATGGAGAGTTCTTCGTGCCCGATTTGTCGTTAAAGAACAACACACGAGGAAGAAGAAGGACAAGAAGGTTCAAGAACGATATGGACAAAGCATACAAAGGCTCAGCCAACCGACGGTCACAAAAGCCGAACAATACAAATTCAGAGCCAGTCATGCAAAATAGATGCTCGCTATGCCACGAACTAGGCCATAAGAAAACTAGGTGCCCGAAGCGAGACAAGTCTAAGGATCGACCGAAAAAGCGCCGTAGGACGGGGGGAGGTGGTGAGGGTAGCACACAGGTGGGATTGGATGACATTCATTTGCTAAGTTCATATTGTTGCTTCAATGTTTACTTTCTATTGTCCTCCTTTCCATTCTCATTGTGATTTTTCCATTTAATATTTTTTCAATTACTAATTATTCCATTTTCATTTGCAGGATGGAGTACTTTCCGGGGTTGGAGGATTTCTACGAGGAGAAGCACCGGGCCCCACAGATTGCCAGCGGAGAGGTTAGCATCAACAATATTCCATTTTTTTTATGATCGAATTTATTTTTTCTTCTTTGATTTTAGTTTGTACAGATAGATCATCCATCATAGAGATATCTCAAATCAAAGTTCAGGAGCCTCAAAGCAGAGCATGTAAACACACAGATCTTCTTTTCAGTTTTCTTGCTCAATCCCAAAATTAAAGTTCCTAGTTGCATGATGTATTTTCCACAACCCTTGTATATGATATATTGTCGCTAACTTTATGTTATTATGTTTGTCTATTGATGCAGCGCTTGAAGACCCTTCGAGTCAGAGGTCACACGGCGCACATACTGTTCGACGACCGGTACGTCCCGTACCTACGGCGGGCGAAGCTCTTGGCGTTCGTGACCATGGCGCAGCGACCGGTGCCTCTGTACAACGCCGCTGCTCTGACGGCCCTAGTGGACCGGTGGCGTCCAGAGACACACACCTTCCACCTACCGTGCGGGGAGCTGACGGTCACTTTGGAGGACGTCGCCATGATCCTGGGTCTTCCTATCCGGGGTCAGGCGGTCACAGGTGACACAGCGTCAGGGAATTACTAACGAGTCTTCGTATTCATTTGTTAATTTTTTTGCAATTACTAATGATTCCATTTAATTTCCGGTTACAGGTGACACAGCGTCGGGGAACTGGAGGGAGAGGGTCGAGGAGTACCTTGGTCTGGAGCCTCCAGTGGCACCTGATGGTCAGAGGCAGACGAAGACATCAGGGGTTCCTTCGAGTTGGTTGCGAGCCAACTTCGGTCAGTGTCCCGCTGAGGCAGACGAGGCTACAGTACAGCGATACTGCAGGGCGTACGTGCTGTACATCTTTGGCAGTATTCTGTTCCCTGACTCTGGTGGAGACATGGCTTCTTGGATGTGGCTGCCGTTGCTCGCGGACTGGGACGAGGCGGGTACCTTCAGCTGGGGGTCGGCTGCCCTAGCCTGGTTGTACCGGCAACTCTGTGATGCTTGCCGAAGGCAAGGCGGGGACGCGAACCTAGCAGGCTGTGTTTGGTTGCTACAGGTAAGTTCACGCATGTTATGTTTCATAACATTTCAATTTCTTGCTAACATGTTGGAAGCTAACGTATGTGACACAGGTTTGGATGTGGATGAGGCTTCCAGTTGGTCGGCCCATGTGGAGGACCCATCAGGCTTGGCCGCACCAGGATGCAGACCGACGTCCCACTGTAGCTCACCTGTGGGAATCGGTCCCATCTCCAGTAGTAGGCCGCAGGAATTTGGCGTACTACCACTACACAAACGAGATGGACTACCTACAGCCAGAACATGTAAGCTATTCGGGGTTCTATCACACATGAAGATGGTTTCTTACTATATAGTACTAAATGTGCTTCAATGTGTTTTATTTTTGTTGCTGCAGGTGGTGTGGATGCCATATCAGGCACAGGAAGTGCTCGAGCTAGAACTGAATCCCATGTGCCATATAGAGGATGCGTTGAAGACCCTACGGTGCCCACTGATCTGCTTCTATGCAGTGGAGTTCCAGATGTGCCACCGCGTGATGCGGCAATTCGGGAGGCTTCAAACAATCCCGCACCATTTCTCCACGAGTATCGACCTACACAAGTTAGTAATTTCACTTAACAATTTATTTTGCTTGCCCAATCAGTCACTTCAACATTTACTACATATTTGAGTTGGACATTTTGCATACGTGCAGGGTGGACCGTCGGAAGAACAAGAAGGTGACTGATTGGGCTTACTACCATCAGGATCATATCACGCAATGGGAGAAGTTCGAGGAGAATGGAGTACCAGACCAGGGTCAGCACAACGGGACGGAGTTCGACTTGTACTTGGCGTGGCTCCACAGGACCTACCGTCTTGTCCTTCGTCCGGCTTGGACACTAGCCGACATAGCGGATGACCCCGAGGATGTTGAGGAGCAGAACGAGTACGATACTCGTACCCGTCTAGGTACCACGGTCGAGACGGGACCTGTTCGCGACAGAGTGGTTAGTTTCTAGCATTAATGTTGTATATTATTTCATTTCAATGCCATATATGTTGTGACTTACTTCATTTCAATCCTACAGGCTCGAGAGCTCTTGCGGACCGTCAACGACGCGGGAGTGGCGCTAGGCACGGCTCCTGGCTCCGAAGGAGAGGGCGGCACCCTCCGCAACGCCCTACAGGTAATCGTTGGAAAGAGATGAAACTACGGTGTTTTCTTCCAAAAGCGATAACTTAACATGGATTATTTTTTATGCAGAGACTACGGCAGCGATGTCGGAAGTTGGCAGCAAGGCTCGGCTGCAGGTCGACTGATGTGGTCGAACATGCTCATGCCCACCAAGAGGGGGATGAAGAAGGGGAGGTGGGTGACGAGGAGGGCGAGCAAGACAAAGAGGCGGAGGAAGGAGATGAGGAGGAAGAAGGGGATGAGGACAGAGAAGAGGAGGCGGATGAGCTCGGTCCCTCGCAGCTAGAGGACGCACCAGAGTCGTCACAGCCGGATATCTCGCAGCCCGGCCCGTCTCGACCACGACGCCGGCGGGCTCCTTCGCAGGACTGGAGGTACACCCCCGACGTGCCTCGTCCTCGCACTAGAGGTAGGAGGAGGTGAGTGCATGGTTCAATGGATGGATGGATAGATGGATGGACTTGATGCATGGTTCGATGGATGTATGGACTGGATGTATGGACTCGACTGGATGTATAGACGAGGATCGATGGGATGTTTTTATTTCTTATATATATGGACTTCATATATGGATGTATTGATGGATTCTATGGATGTATGGAATGATGTTGGGATTGATGGATGGATGTATGTTTTGTATGGTTCTCTGGATATATTACTGCCTGTAAATTTCTGTGATTTGATGTTTGCCTGTGTTGTGTGCAAAGTTTTGCTAAAGTTTAGCAGGGCTGGGACGTCAGCGCCATGCTAAATGGCGCTGACATGTCCAAACTCAGCGCTAGTGCACCTGGCGCTGAGGTCCCAGCCCAGCCATCCAGAAGGCTTGCTGGGCTGGGCCACGGCCGAAACGGCCAAGTCCAACCTCAGCGCCAGGTGGGCTGGCGCTGAGTTTCCCACAGTGGCGCTGAGGTCCCAGCCCGCAAGCCATCCAGAAGGCTCGAAACGGCCAAGGCCCACCTCAGCGCCAGGTGGCGCTGAGTGTCTCACGGTCAGCGCCATTATGGATGGCGTTGAGGTCCCAGCCCGCAAGCCATCCAGAAGGCTCGAAACGGCCAAGGCCCACCTCAGCGCCAGGTGGACTGGCGCTGAGTGTCCCACGGTCAGCGCCATTATGGCTGGCGCTGAGGTCCCAGCCCGCAAGCCATCCAGCAGGCTTGCTGGTCTGGGCCTTGGGGGTTGCGGCCAAGTCCCACCTCAGCGCCAGGTGGGCTGGCGCTGAGTGTCCCACGGTCCGCGCCATTATGGCTAGCGCTGAGGTCCAAGCCCGCAAGCCATCCAGAAGGCTTGCTGGTTTGGGCCTTGGGGGTTGCGGCCAAGTCCCACCTCAGCGCCAGTCCGGTTGGCGCTGAGGTAGCTGCCACGTCAACTGGGGATCGGCCTGGCCGCCACGGTGGCACAATGTCAGCGCCAGTCCCGTTGGCGCTGACACGGCCAACATCAGCGCCAATGTGTTTGGCGCTGAGGCGACGACCTATTTTTGGTTGAAGTTTTTGGCAGGGGTTAGTTTCGAAATAAGTTTTCCAAAAGGGTCAATTTGTCAAAAAAAGGGTAAAAATGCTGAACATATTAGTACCGTCTGGAGAGACCAACCGATATATGTATTGATCTTTAGCACTAATTGGTGACACCAACTGGTACTAAAGATAATATTTGCCTTTTTATGCCTTCTTTCTTCTCTAGCCCGAGCCATTGGTACCAAGCTAGAGAAGGAAGCTAAGAGATGTGCTGCCAAAATTTTTGATGAAAGTATTTTGGTAATATTACACAAATCAAAGGAATCTAAAAGGCTATAAACTTCATCCTCTATTGATGTATGGTTAACTTATTGCATTTCTAGCCATGTTTCTATCGTCATTCTCTCTCAAAAATATATGGAAAAAGATGAGAGATAATAAGCATACTTCGTAATTTTGGAGACATTGGATACGAATGTAAAAGAAGAGGCAACAAAGGAAAATTATATTAAATGAAGGAAAAAGGAATAGAAAAATAGGGAAAATAGTAGAAAATAATAGAAAATGAAGGAGATATAATGGAAAACATGAAGGAAAAACAAATAGATAGTAGAAAAGTTAGTGTGGCATTGTATGGAAAATAGGAAAAAAACTATGGCAATAGTAAAAAAATAAATGAAATCTAACTGTGGTTAGCAATACTCTTCATCCACTCAACTTTTGAGTTTATGATATTGTAACGTCCTGCCTTCCCCAGGCCGGGCCCGCTTACATCTGATAGCTTTCATAGGTCATAGACTGCCCTCACAGACTAACACATGTCTTTTCTGCACACTTTGTCCTCACTCGTGTGCACCCGGGAAGAATTCCCCCAGGCCGGGCCCGCTTACATCTGATAGCTTTCATAGGTCATAGACTGCTCTCACAGACTAACACATGTCTTTTCTGCACACTTTGTCCTCACTCGTGTGCACCCGGGAAATGTCTTTTCTGCACACTTTGTCCTCACTCGTGTGCACCCGGGAAGAATTTCCCGGTCGGTCACCCATCCCAAATTGCTCCAGGCCAAGCACGCTTAACCCTGGAGTTCTTTGGAGATTGGCTGCCGGAAAAGAAGTTGCAACTTGTTGATATGAATATTCTATTAATCCTATTAAGCCCTAGGCCGGAATGTTACACCCTCACCCCCTTAAGAGAGATCGACGCCCCCGTCGATCAACCCTAGGCCAGGAACGTCCTCTCTTGGCCACGTCCATGTGTCCAGTGCCAGCGCATGTGCCATGCTGTGTAACCACTCCCGGTCTACACTAGCCATGCGCACCATGCCTGCGCAACTGCGACACACGCGCCCGTGAAACCGCGAGAGTCGGCTCTGATACCATCTCTTGTCACGCCCCGAACTAGTCCCGACTGGAACTAGCCCGTGACGCTCCAAATTAACCTGTTAATCGATACCAGTCCCAGGAAATAGTGCTGGTATCACAGGAAGACAGAATATCACAGCAACAGAGGTCTCTTTATTATAGAGTAGGAGTACAGTCATGTTGGGCTGTGGACAGATCCCGAGCTCACAACTGCATTACAAAAGGAAAGCGGAAGCCAGGACTAGACCAAACAACACAGGCGCGACTTGGGAACTAGGCCGAGACCCTAAAACTCATCGTAGCCGGCTTGCTCCTGGAAGAACTCCTCATCAGCAGGATCCGCTTCATCTTCTTCAGCAACTGGGGGGGATTATTTATATAGAGCATGGGTGAGTACGGGAGTACTCAGCAAGCCATGGGAAATAAGTGTTTAATGCAGGCTTCAAGGAAAGGCTGTTGTTTTTGCAATTGATTTTAGTTGAACTCTTTTCTAAAAACAACTGAGTGCTTCTCAAACGACATGGATGAGACAGTGCGTCTCGTCCGGTCGGAGTATGTGCAATGTATCAGTCTTTAAAATTTAAAACAAGGTTGGCACCCGGCCAACAGCTTTTCAAACGGCCACCCGGGCCTACAACTTTCAAACGGCCACCCGGGCCTAGCTGATCCCATCAGCTGCAGATTTTTCAAACATCGAACCCCTTTCCATAACAGCAATTTCACAAGCAATAGTCAAACAAACTACGCTAGGAATAACCTCACATCCGCCCATGACCGTGGGCACGGCTGTTCGAACAGTTTGTTAACCTCTGCAGAGGGGGTACACTTTACCCACACGACATTACTAACCCGGATCACCCAGCCCGTGGGGATCAGCCACGTCGGGAGACCTCCAAGCTTTCATGACAAGGCATTTCCAAAGCCGATACATGTTTACCATATGCCGACGAGAGGGGTCCCAGACCAACAACAGGTTAGGTCCCAGACCATACTGTGCCAGGAAGCCCAGGGGTCCTCCCCGACACCACCCCGGCGAATCCACATGTCTCTCGACATCAAGGCTCCCCTGATAAGCTAGTTACTTAGCCAGGGATGTCCCATTCCACCCATGTGATAGTACTTGTCTTATGTTTGGATGAAATTCCAAGGAATCGGTCCTTAAGTGCGAGAGCAGGAAAAACCGTACACCCGGTACGTTCCCCGGTCCGCGGTTTTGGAAATTCATTTAGTTCGCAAGCGCCGACCCAGGTGTCGGGTTTTCCAACTCTTTTGTAAAACTCCAGTTTTACCCAAGTTGTTACTCAGATTTTAAGTTTGAAGGCGACCGTCGATACTCGCACAGAGTGCACGAATATCGAGGCGCAACTGGATGGTTACAAGGGGACATGGTATAGCAATTAACAATGGAAGGATCAAATGCAACAAGTTAGGTAGGTCCGCCAATCTGCCTTGCAGACGGGACAACAGATTAAGTGCGATCCTATCAATGCATAATATTTTGCAAGCAACATAATTAAATTTCAAATATAGGCTCAAGATGTTCAAAGGTGGCTTGCCTTGCTCGAGATCTGGAGCTTGATCCTCGAAATCCTCGCACTGCGGGTCTTCGGGCTCCGAAACTACACGCGAAACGGGGCAACTCAACAAACGGTGAAAATAAAGCCCTATTAATGACCTCTAAGCGTGCCATTAGATAGATCTCGAGATTTGAGGAATTTTGGAAGTTGAACGGAGTCAAACGGATTTACGGTTGGGAAGATATTGAATTTCTAAGATTATTGGATTTTTGTCTAAAGGAAAAGGATTTAATTAAATCCTTTTTGGAAAAGAAAAGAAAAGAAAAGAAAAGAGGGATGGAAATTAGACTTTTCCTCGGGCGGCTAGGGCGCGGCCCGAGAGAGATGGGGCGGTCCGGCCGAGCTAAATGGGCCGGCCGGCCCAAGATTGCCCAAGCGCGCGCGCGCGGGAGGGGAGGAGAGAGTGGGCCGGTGGACCGGGCTCACCGTGCGCGGTCCCGGGTGGGACCCGCTTGTCAGCGGCTCGGCTCACCGTGAGGAGGGAGCACGCGGCGCACGCGCGCGGGCGGGGGAGGGACGCGGTGCACGCGCGCGGTCTGCGTAGGAACGGATGCGGCGGGCCCACGCGCAGCCTCACGGCTCGCGGTGGAAAGCGCGCACGGGAGGGGCTGACCGGGGTCGGCCCGTCCCGACCTCGGCTGAGCTGGCGCTGACGTGGCGCCTACGTGGCTGCCACGCGGGCCGGCGGGAGGTAGACGACGACGCCGGCCGGAACGGACGGCGGACAACAGCGGCGAGCGGCGGAGCGAACCACGGCGATACCGGCGAAAGCGAGCACACCGGCTGGTTGCACGAGACGAGGGGAGACGAGCCAACGGCTCGGATTCGCCGGAGGAAGCTTGACGGCGGCGAATCGCGGCGGCGGCAACCGGCGGTGGGAAAAGGGGAAAACGGCGACGAGGTCACGAGGGGCCGATTCCCGGCGGTGAGAGCATCTACGCGGCCACGGGAATCCGATGCTAGCGTCGGATTGGGCGGAGCTACGCCGAGCGAGGCTGGCGACGAGCGGGTGCTACGGAGCTCGAACGGCAACGGCGGCGAGCACACGGCAAGTGATGGCAACGGTCGGGGCGGCGCCGGCTAGCTACGGGGAGGCTACTCGTGCTACCGACGAAAACTAAGGGGAGGAGATGGAGCGAGGAGGAAGAACGGAGGGAGG